ATGATTTGAGTGATACTGCAGCATTGCATAGGCTAGGATCTCCCCAAAGAGTTATTTCATGCCCGGCGAGCTGGAACCGGAAAATTTGCAGCTTCCAGTTCACCTTCGTCTCACCCAAGGTTTCGAGCCATTAAGCTCCTAGTATCACATCAGCACTGCCTAGCTCTAGGGGTAAGAAATTCGTCAGAATTGTGCAGCTCTGCACCTGGAGAGAGACGTTGCGGCACACCCCCATGCCTCTCACCGTGACTCCTGTGCCCACCAACACGCTGTAGTTGCTAGTGGTGTCCCCTCGAAGGCCCAGCTGCTTCACCAGTTTGAGGTTGATGAAGTTATGCGAGGCGCCACTATCGATCAAGACCACCTTATTGATTCCTCCGACGGATCCCATGATCTTTATAGTACAAGGAGACGAGATCCCCACCATGGAATTGATGGACAGTTCCGCTAGCTCTGTTATCTCCGAGGGTTGCTCGCCGGTCACTTCCCCGTATTCCTCCACAAACTCTTCCTTCATACCGTCTTCATGCACCACCAAGACGGTGAGCTTGCTCGCTTGGCACACATGATCAGCATGGTGTGGCTCATGGCACTTAAAGCACCACTTGTTCTCCTTCCAGATTTTGATCACCGCCGGTGTGAGCCTTCTAAACGGTGGCTTGAGTCAACCATAGGGTCTTAGGTTTTTGTTCGCACTATCCTTATAGGACTCACCCCCTGGTTGATGGATTTGGGCCTGTTATCCTGAGGCCCACTCGTTTTGTTACCCATCGTTGACGGCCCACTTTGAAAGGTTCTGGGCCCGTTCGACCTAATGAATAGCTCCACTCCTCTGGTCATCGTTCCCAGTGACGATTGCTCCGATTCGGACCATCCTTCCACCGTCTTGGCTAATTTCATCATCTGCTTAAGCGTCTTGGAATCAAATGACATTACCCGAGCTTGGATATGGGGATAAAGCCCATTCATAAACGCTATTATCTGCACCTTGTCCGAAACCTCCAGTGCGTTAGACGCCAACGCGATAAATTCCTTGCAGAAATCCTGCACCAACCCCTCCTGATGGATGTTTATGAGTCATTCTCCGGCGGTTGTGTCGCCCGTCGTCGAGTACTGCTCTAGGACTCGAAACTTCATCTGCTCCCATCCCTCAAATGGTGTTTGGGATCTCTTCCATCGATACCAGAGCAACGCACCGCCAGTGAAACACATTCGTACGGTGCACATCTTCTCCTCCTCCAAAAAGTTACTCAGCTCGAAATATTATTTGACCCTGAGCACCCACTGGTCGACATCTTCCCCACCAAACAGAAGAACCTCCATCTGGCGACTGAGCGGCTTGTTTCTTCTCTCCGGTGGTTCAGCCATGGGTTGGAGGATCGGCATCTGCTCCTCCCTCTGAGTTGACCCCGTCGTTACCATAGGTTTCAAGGATGACGCACCCATGTTACTCGTGCACGCGGGGGGGAAGTAACAACGACTTCCTCTGCTTTCTGCTTGCCACGATCCACCGTGTCGAGCTTCTGCTCCAGGGCGTCCTAACGTGCCAGCGTCAGCTTCGAGGCGCTGTGTGATTGCCACGATGCTTTTTTCTAACGCCGTTACTCTAGCCCTATCCTGAGTCATCAACTCCAAGATGCGTTTGATCCCCAAACTTTCCTCGCTTTTCTGTGGTTGTACCTTCGGTGCCATGTTTCCCAGTCACGACCTCGCTCTTATACCAAGTTGATACGTGAAGGGATTCAAAGCTTTAGAATATAGAAAATGGATTCGATGTATTGATTTGATAAACGCAAGAATACAAGTTGAGAGACTGTTATGGAGTTCTCTCTCCTCCCTTGACAATTTGACCAAATCAATTGATACCTTTACATCATAATTTATCTCTTATTTAACGACTCTAAGATTCCCTGTTAACAAACCATGTGCGCCGGTCACTACACCGTGTCTTATTCCTTCTAGATGATTCCCCCTTTTCTAGAAGCTCTCCCACGTCTTGACTCCTCACTTGTGGGCCTTCTTACGCTTGTACTGATAAATGATGAGCCTCGTACGTATCAGTTTGCAGTAGCCACAGATGCAGCACTCTTAGAAACTTTGGCCAAACGGATATCAAAGACAAGAGAAGAGTTGATCCGAGGATTGCTTGCAATTTTTGCAGGAATTGCACTGCGACATTTGGCACAAGTCCGGTGTCCTCTAGCTAGCCACTTCTCAAAACAATTTAACCAAAAGTTGTGCCCACATGGTGTCTGAAAAAGATACACATACAAGAAGTATCCATCAGCTCTGCTTAATAGGAGTAATTTTCAACTTTGCCAAACATTGTTATTTCGAAAAGCAAAAACTATAAAAGTGTCCCCCAAAGAAGCAAAAACATTATGGTTTATCTTTGACAGGAACAATAACATACCATAAACTGCAAAAATTACACAAAACAAGAATCAACAACGCAATGGTTGAATTTGCACAAATAAGTACGAGTGTTGATACAGATTATTTACGAATATTAAGCACTATTAAATCTATATACGATTCTACTACTGCATCTGTGATTTAAAAGAATCATACTCAATAATGTCTCAACACCTAGAATAGATTAAAGATTCAACAGATCCACCGAATCTAACCAACACCCGCAAATATACACTAAATCAACAAAAGTGTAACTCAAACAAGTATCAACAAAATAATGGTTGAAATGGCAATTCCGTTATCTATAGATGTTGGTGAACACTGACTTATTGACACAGTTCGTCACAAATGGAAAGCACAATGAATTCTACTGCCCAATAATGTTTTCAACAATGAAAGATAAACGCCTAAATTGGATTAGAGATTCAACAGATACACCAAAACCCCCAAATATACCCTAGATTCATAAGAACTAAGCAATCTACAAATGCACATAATCAATAAGAAAATTGGAGATTCAGATAGAGAGAGACAACATACGGTTACTGGTCTTTCAGGCAACTGCATACAGAAAGAGCATTTCAAGTTTTCTCCGAAGGCGGCCAAGACATCAACATTGAGACCCGAGCTCTTTTTCTCGTCTTCGTCATAATCGGCCTTACCACCAAGTAGCTATTGCCTCTTCTTAGCCTTATCTGCGTCAGTCAAAGAGTCGTCGGCCTCGATCGCGCGGATCGAGGCTAAAAGTTCTGAGCCACCATCGGGTTTGCCGGAAATGGGGAGAGGATCAATTTCGTCGGTACAATCAGGACAATGCCACTGTAGAGTGGAGGCAAGGGATTCAGGAGGCGTAGAGAGGCAAGGAACGTGCCATGGAGTGCCGCATAAGGTGCAAGTGAGTGATTACTTGGGCAGAGGAATTGACTTGCATCGCGAGCAGTTCCCATTGCCGCCGTCGCATGGAAGCTGCACCATTTCGATGAATGACCGAAGATAAGATCGGAGGAAGGTATGGAGAGAGAGACTGGGGGGAATTAAGGAGACGAAAAGTGTAGAGACACTTTTTAAAATATTTGAAATTGAAAACGACGCCAAAAATGATAATTAAAATATATATTTCTCTTAGTTCAATAAAATTGGGACGAATGGCCAAAAAAACAATTGGAAACAAAATAAAAAATGGAACCAAATCGTTTTGAAAATGATTTTCTTTTTTTTGGGTTATTTTATATCTTAAAAATATGTTTTATAAGGAGATTTAAGAAAACTAGATTTGAATTGTTAACATACTTTTTTGAATTGTCATAAGGAGATTTAAAAATCAGTAATTTAAATACTTGATTAATATCTAACAAAATTTTGAATGGAATGAATGAAATTAACTTTGCTAACATGCGTTTAAATTCTATACATTTGATTTTTTTTTTTTAATAAAATATATAATTATAATTTTTACGTCATCTTTTTAAAACTATACAATGAACCAATCATAATATGCTGAATTATACGTTGAATAGGAGATGAATTAAAACATTAAAAAAATCAACATATTAAATCTCAGTAACTCACACATGAAAAGAAATCTACTTAGCCACATGACGTGCAACTAGAATAATTGTACTCTCTCTATTCCTAAATGTATGATGTTTTAGATTTTTTACTTGTTTTATTAAGATTGATGTTTTAGAGTATTAAATACATATTTTTGCAGATTTCAAGAAAAATAACTAAAACTATTCAAATCTTTAAATCACTATTGGTTAATAAGTAATGATTGTAAAAAAATAATGCACTAATAACTAAAAAGTAACTCTTCCTTAATTTATGTAAACAAGCTAAAACATCATATTTTATAATCATATTATAAATAAATTAACATATTTAGTACAAATAGTACTGTATGGTACATAGTAATTTATTTTAATACTTATATTATTACAAACTGAAATTACTTAATTAATATTAATAAATATTTTATTACTTAGGATTTTATATCATACAAAGTTAAATAATACTGGTATATATTTTTAATAAATATATTCAATTTAGATAGTTATTTATATATACACATATACCATATATCTATTTGTATAGTAATATACCATATATCTATATCAATTATTCAAACTAATTATAATTATTAAAAATATATTTTACACCAAATAAATAATTATGTATGGCTATCTCTAATAAAAATGATATAAAATTATTTTATGAAATTTAGTTTACATAAAATATATATGCAAATATAAGATATATATGTATTATATTAGAGTAATAGGTTTATATATATGTTTATATAACACATATTTAACAAGGAAATATAATTTTGTATTAAATAAATTATTTAATTTGTGCAAAGCATAAAAAGAAAGTTTTATCGATTATATTGATATTTATTATTAGTTTCTAACAAACTAAAATTATTTTTTAATTTTGTTAACAACAGATATGGCGTCTAATTATCAACGGGACATAATTCTTCGAGGCGAAATGATTCGATTCCCGGAGAAGTTCCTACTCCTCCCAGCGAAACAACCATAAGGTAATTTTTTAAAAATACATTATATAAATTTAATAAAATAATGAAAGTAATAATTTTGAAATTTGTAGAACAAAGACAAAGAGAAATACAAATGGTCGTACATTATAGAAATTTTTTTAATATAGTTGTTCGATGAAGCAATTGCAATGAATAATTACACTACAAAGAATCATAATTCTTTTGGAAGAGAATATATGGTTGAGAAGTTCAACACTGCGTTCAACATAAATATAACTTATGGTTATTTTAAGAATAAGCTTGATGAATTCAAAAAAAATTACAAGAGATGGAAAGCTCTTATGAGTTTCATTGATATTTCGGTGGATCCTGAGGCATCCATGATCTATGCATCTGACGCATGGTGGAAAGAGCGTGAACTGGTAAGTATACATAAATTTATATAATCATGAAAATATGTCTTTAAATTTAGGTACCAAATAATTTGATGGCTATAAATTTATAGGGATGCAAAATAACAAAGGCTTTTAACCGAAAACCCCCAGATTTTTGGGATGTGATGGTGCAATGTTTCATATTACATGATGTCCAATCACAATCTCCACATTCTGCGGGCCAAAGAAGAAGAAAGTTGGTAAACGAGCATGAGGACGACTTTCATGGCTCTGACACTGATAGAGGTGATATGCTCGAAACACTAGTTCCTGAGACACAAGAAGAGGAAGACATATATCGTTTAATAGTTGATGATATTACACCATGTGTCACAAAAGCGGTCTGAAATCCCGCTCGGAGAAGCCAGCAACGATCAAGGCAAATTTGCAGACAAACGCTAGGCGTGGGAGTACTTCATAAAGATTAGGTCAAACGTCACGACCTTCTGATGGTAGTGGTTCACGAGTAGGTCGGAGAAGACAATCGTTTGAAACAACAATACAAGACACCATAGCTGGATATACAGAGTTCCAATGACAAAGTTTACAACAACTTCGCCTAGGTGCTTTTGACAAAAATGACTACGACGAGTGGAAAAAAGCAGAAGCCATATTCCTTGATTTAGAAATTCCAAAAAGCAAATTTTATTGGGTATGCCTTAATACACTGAAAGAGTTAGTATTTTGGCAAAAGTATTTTATTGATATAGCTGGAAGCAGTGACGAGGATAAGCTACAACTGCTAGAAACGATAACTGGTGTTTCCCAAAACAACGAAGATGTCCCAAAATTGTTAGGCTCGGGACCATCATATGGAAGTCCACATTTATAAGGACTATCATCTGGCTAACCGTCCTCGGTGGGTAACAGTACAAGAGGATTGTGGGTACCAAATTGTCAACAATGGGGGCACACCACCAAATGCTCAGCATTGGGATTCATCCCAAGCTGCTCCACAATGGGGAACACCACCAACTGCTCAACCGTGGGGCACACCACCAAATGCTCAACAATGGTGCACACCACTGAACTTTCAACAATGTGGCACACCACTGAATGCTCAACAATGGGGCACACCACCGAATGCTCCACAATGGACCACATCACCAAATAATTCACAATGTAGGTTTTCACCAAACCAAACACAAAATTATCAACAAGGGGGGTCATCAGGAACAACTCCGACCAATGTTCAATATGAATTTTCAGTTGGAAGTCAAGAACAAAGTTTGAGAAATTCTCAACAAGATATTTCAGATTCTGCAGCTGCAGGAAATTCAGCAAATGCTCAAGGAACATTATTACATGGTCTTGATTTCATAAATTATTATGAGCCTGCCCGTAAATCACCAACACCTACACATGGAGGTCTATTCAACATATGGAGAAGCTTGATAAAAACAAATATAAATATAAATGAATGTCATCAAAGTGATTCAGAAGATGATAGTTAGTTTATGATAGTCATGTTTTATCATTCTCTTTGCAATAAAAAATAAAATATGTTTTTATTATTGAGTTTTAGTATTTTCTATTACTGTTTAATATAAATTTATATTTGCTTAATGATGTGTTTTCACTTATGTTTACAATTTCAGGCTTTTTGTATATGCCAGATGAGAGCACAAGGATTGGAGAATCTAAGTTACGAAGAGAGAATTCAATTGTGGAATTTGAAAAATGAGCAATTTACAGAGTTGGTAATTCAACCAACACTCACTTACAATCAGAGATATTTTGAAAAGCACAAGTACAAACTGAAGGAGGTTTGGGATGGAGAAATATATTTGGCATCGACTGCAAGACAATGATGCTGCTTATCTTCAGATATTGCGAATGTCATTGCCATGTCATTGCCATGTTTCACAACATTGTGTGATACGCTTCAAACAAATTATGGACTACAACCAACATTAAATACAAGCGTTGAAGAAAGTGTTGCTATGTTTATATGGATATGTGGGTACAATGAAATTCAAAGATATGTTGGTTTGAGATTTGGCCAAAATCAAGAGACTGTGCGGAGAAAAATTATTGAAGTTCTTACAGCGACTGAACAACTGACATATGATTATATTAGAATTCCAACAAGACAATAGCTCCACCGGATTCCTGAAATACTTTTCGTAGATCAAACATATTATCCATTTTTTAGTGGTTTCATTGGAGCTATGGATGGGACACATATCTGTGTAAAAGTGAAGCCTGAGTTACAAGGAATGTATTGGAATCGACATGATCATGCATCTTTAAACATCATGGCAATATGTGATATGAATATGTTATTCACATATATTTGGAATGGAGCACCAGGATCATGTCATGATACTGCTGTTCTGGCGATGACATAACAAAGAGACCATAAAATTCCCTTTGCCTCCATTAGACCATCTCCAATGTATTTTTCCATTTTCTACTCCAAAATAGAGTAACTCTAAAATGGAGTTGTGTTTTGCTCCAATGTATATCTCGATTTTTTACTCCAAAAAATAATATTCTAACTAAATTCTTATTCTATTTATTATTAATACCTTTTAGTTTTAAAATTTACAAATATACCCTACTTATTTTCTTGTTTACAATATTCTTCAAAAATTATAAATTAAATATTTATTAAATAATGAAAATTACAAAATATCACAAAAAAGCATATGCAATTTTATTAAACATTACTATTACTGAAATTTTTATCATTATTTTTTTAAATATTTGTTGTCTTAAATTTATTTATATTGTTTATCTTAATTTCAGCACTTATTATGTATTTTTACGTCTATTGTATTTTGCAATCTTTTCTTGGAATAATTGTAGTGTTTAAATATTCATAATTATCAGTTTTATAATATTTATAAATATTAAAATAGTATAAAATATAATTATTTTAAATCTAAAGGATTAATTTGAAAATAAAAAAGTTCACCTTCAAAATGGAGTAGAGTTTAGATCTACTCCAAATATATAGTACAATTTAGGGTTACTCCATTTTGGAGTTGAAAATGGAGTAGGGTTGGAGATGATTTTACTTCAAAATAGCATTTGGAGTTGAAAATGGAGTAGGGTTGGAGATACTCTTAGAGAAATATTATCTCGTTGATTCTGGTTATCCAAAGAAACAAGAATTTTTAGCTTCGTAAAGATCATCGCAAAATGGAGTTTTGAGATATCATATGTCTCAGTTCAACTCTGGTCCTGCTCCTAGGAATAAATATCATGCATCATTGTGTTCTGTAATCGAGAGAAATTTTGGAGTTTGGAAGAAAAAATGGAGGATTCTTTCCGATTTTCCAAGATATGGTATAAACGTTCAAAAAGAGTGGTAATGGCTACAATAGGATTACATAACTTTATCAAAATTTCAAATTTTTCGGATGCAGATTTTGCATATATAATGATAGAGATAGGAATAAACAACAGAGATTCAGAACCTGACAAAGGTGACATAGACACAACTGGGGTAGCAGATAGAGAATATATGGCACAGTTAAGAGACAATATTGCAGATATGTTGTGGCAAAATCAAACTACTAGATAATTTTTGTAGTTTTTTTTAGTATTGTATTTGTCTTTTTTTAATCATTTAAAACTTTTTATGTATTATTAATTAAATATCTTTTTTTTTTAAATTTAATTAGATTACAATATTTAAGATTTATAAAAATAATTTGTATCACTAAAAAAATTTTTTATAATGATAATAATATTATTTTATCTTCATATTTACTTACTTTTTAAATTTCGTACCGTTTGTTAATATTTTCACCAATCAAAGATTATTTTAAACCATTCACTGTTCTTTCACCAATCAAAAATTATTTTGCATCGCTTTTTTTACATTAAATGCACTAGTTCCGCATAATGCATATCCCGCAGTTTAACCACAACGCTTTTTAATTCCAAGTTTCAATACCGCATAATACACTATCACGATAGATTGTAACCCATGTTGTATTTGTTTTGGCTGCTGAGATTTTTGATAAACAATTTTAAAATATGTCTAACTAAAAACCCTAAATATACTAATACTATATTTTTTCGTTCCAATCAAAAATTTGTTAGGTATTAATAGAGCATTTAAAGACCGTTTAGTGAGTAATCAATTAAACGTATAATAGTTAGAGATTAATCAAACTTTGCTTGGAGTTTTTTTATTGAGATTTCTATTTACATATCTCGTTTTCAGTAATAAATATTCCAAATACATTATCAAGTGCAATGGAAATTTGATTTATCTTTACCAATATGAGTTTGAATATAAAGGTAGATTTTGGTTTATTTTTTTTTTAATAGAATATGTAGTTGTAATTTTTGCTTTATATTTATTTACAATGAATCTGATGGGAAATAAATTCAACAGTTAAATGACTTTAATAATATGATGAATTATGTGTTAAATATGAAGTGAATTAAAACAAATAGAGAAAACAAACAAACACATGGAATGATAGCACTTGGACACGTGACATGCATGGATTGGATAAAGAGATTGGTTATACAATAAGATAGAGATTGGGGCACGTGTTGTATTGTTATTGGTTACTAAAATTCTTGATAAATGATTCTAACCATCATAAAATATATCTAACATAAAATCCCAGTTATACTAACACTAATTTCACCCACTTCATTCAAAAAATTTGTTAGGTATTAATCGAGCATGGATGCTTAGTTCATAATCAATTAAAATCAGAATATTTAGAAAGTAATTAGAGATTAATCAAAATTTGTTTAGAGTTTTCTACTGAGGCTTCAGTTTGTATATGTATACTCGTTTTCAATAATAAGTATTTCAATTATATTGTTCAGTCTATTGAAACTTTGATTAACTTTGCTAACATAAGTTTGAACCCTATTAGCAGATTTCTTTTTTTTGTTATTTTAACAAATATATAGATGTAATTTTTTGCTTCATCGTTTTTACATTATTTATAATGGACTTGCTGAAAACAAATTCAGCAATTCGAAAGTGTTGTACTAAATTATGTGTTGAATATGAGTTAAGTTCAACATATTTAATCTTGTTGACTCACACATGAAAGGATAGCTACTTGGCCATGTGGCGCCCAAGGATTGAATAAAGAGATTGGTTGTAAAATAAGATAGGGATTTAAACACGTGTTTTACTGTTCTTGATCGCTGAGATTCCTGATAAATTATTCTAGCCTTCCTAATATATGTCTAACATCAAAACCCTAATTACACTAATACTAATTTCATTCACTCCATTCAAAAAAATTTGTTAGGTGTTAATGAAGCATTCAAATGATACCTAATGCATAATCAATTAAATGCAGAATAATTAAAAAATAATCAGAAATTAATTAGAATTTTTTTTAGAGTTTCTTATTTAGGTTTCAGTTTATATATGTATACTCATTTTCATTTTCAGTAATAAATATTTCAAGTATATTGTTAGGTGTGTGGAATTTTTATTAGCTTTACTAATATGAGTTTAATTACTATAAGCAGATTTTTGATTTTTTTAATAGAATACATAGTTATAAATTTTGCTTCATCTTTTGAGACTATTTTACAAATAATTACAATAGACATGTTGGAAAAAAATCAGTAATTGAATGATATGTTGGGTGCAAACGGTTGAAGTAATAGATAAATAATTATTAGCATAATCGATGATTACACTGCATTTTTAAAAATTCTCTCTATTTACAATTTCATTAAAAATATTTGTGTAAAACAGAATCCAAATTTTAGATGCAAATGATTGAGGAAATTGTAACGCCTCCGATCGCCCATTCGGCGAGTCATCCATCCCTCAGTGGGGTTTGTGGGCTACGCCCCTGTCCGACGGCCGGTGCGTTATTTTTTCTGGAGCCCAACTGACTTATTTACTGACCCTGCAATCACCACATAATCTTTCCCCGTGTTTTGGCCTCACTCACACAGTTTCGGGAATCACTTCCCGAAAGGTCATCCATCATAGTCCTACTCCAGCTCAAGCACCCTTAACTGTAGAGTTCTCTTGGGACCAGTGACCGAAAAGATAAGTACACTTTGATGACATAAGTAGCCAAATCAATCTATTTAAACTTATTCAAATGGGCTGGGCCCGGAGCGTTACAAGTGGTATCAAAGCCTGGGAAGTCAAACTGGTTGTGTCCTAGGAGACTGTCTTAGGGTTTGGGGGTTAAAGCTCGCACTGTCGGGATCAGAATTCGAGGACAAATTACTGTTTAGTAGGGGGAAATTGTAACGATCCGGGCCCAGCTCATTTGAATAAGTTTAAATGGATTGATTTGGCTACCTATGTTACCAAAGTGCATTAATCTTTTCGGTCACTGGTCCCGAGAGAACTCCACAGTTAAAGGTGCTTGAGCTGGAGTAGGACTAAGATGGGTGACCTTTCGGAAAGTGATTCCCGAAACCGTGTGAGTGAGGCCAAAACACGGGGAAAGATCATGTGGTGATTGCAGGGTCAATAAATAAGTCAGTTGGGCTCCGGAAAAAATAACGCACCGGCCATCGGACAGGGGCGGGCCCACGAGCCCGACTGAGGGATGGGTGACTCGTCGGCAGGGGCGGTCGGGGGCGTTACAGACTTCGTTGTAAGTCTGCATATTTAATTTGTTTTATATATAATTCATTTATTTAAAATTTGTAACAAATAAAATTGATTCTTAAACTCTTAAGTGTGTGTTGTTTATTGGTTTTGCTTATGTATGAGTTTCACATATTTTTTTTGTTATAGTTTAGCTTTAATTAATTTTTTTGTGTTATTTGGTATCTAGCTTATTAGTAGCAGACTTCATATGAAATCTACTTTCTCGTATATGATTGGTTTTCTTACAGAGAATGGTTCAGATGCCCATTGTTCATGGAGAATGGGTGAGTAAAGAATTTTTGTGGCATTTCAAGGTGGATAATCGTAAAGGAAGGTGAATGTTCTTCTTGAGAGATGG